AATCAAAGGCTTTTGTATCGCCCACGCCTTCACATGATCCTCCAAGTCTTGCCCGATGTCCTAGCGTGGAAGGCGTAGGGCTCAGTGTCATCTGGGTTCGTGCTGCGGAAGTAGATGTCTACAGTAAACATGGTTTCCGTAGTATGGTAGCTTAAAGGGGCTTGGGGCTGGGAACTGACAGTTAGGGTCTGCTTTCTCGGGTTTAAGTCTGGAGTTGCGGATTTCGGGGAAGGCCTCTTGCAAGACCAGAACGGATTCCTTCGTACAAAATCAAAATCCTAAACCCTAGACCCCAAGAGGCTAGGTCTCTTTTACATCGCTAAAGGCTTGAGAGGCCTTTAAAGCAGCCACTTATGAAGCCCCAAAGAATCCCCCACCTCCAAAACCCGAAACCCCTAAATCCTTAAACCCCTAAACCCTAAAACCCTCAAGCCCCAAACCCGAAACCCTGAACCCCTAAAAACCCTAAACCCCTAACCCCCTAAACCCTGGAAGCCCTAACACCCCAGACCTTCCAAAACCCCTTAATTAAGGAATATACCTTACATCATATTAGGGATCCTACTATAATATAAGGCAGATTCCTTAATTAAGGGGTTTTGGAAGGTCTGGGACACCCCACCGAAGCCAGGACCAGGAGTCCACACACAAGGCCGACTACGAGAAGATGATGCTGGCCTTGCGCTCGGTGCTGCCTTTTTGCTGTGGGATAGGGCTTGGTCTTATGTTGCAGCACTTAAGCATGGCGGACTTCAAGTTGAAGGTGGATGAATGATGAATCCAACAAGGCAACGGAGTTGCCCCTGCTCCGTGTTTGTGGTACGGTTCAGCAGAATCCTCACATGCGAGCGTTCTGGGGCAGTGTCTTCTCCTTCTTCCTTGCCTTCTTGGGTTGGTTCGCTCTTGCCCCATTGGGGCTGGAGGTGGCCACCAGCATCAACATGTGTGAGAACCAGAAGTTCCCACCCGCCGAGAATCCATTGCGGCCGGCCTATCTGAAGTACAAAAGCCTGAAGACAGGTCTGGAGTACTGCCAGTATGGCAAGGTCAAGGATGGTGATGTCATCACGGACTGTGCAGCAGTTCCAGCTGCTGTCATGAGCAGTGCCACTGCGACAGCTGAAGAGAAGAGCCCATATGCGCCTTCAGTCCTAGCCAAATGTGTGTGCACCACGGGAACCGAGTGCAACGGCATGATAGCAAACGCAGGCGTTGCTGCTGTTGCTTCCACCATCTTCGTTCGAATCGCTCTCGGCACCCTCCTCGAGCGCTTCGGCCCAGTGAACGTGCAAGCCAGCCTGCTCACTTTCGGAGCTTTCTGGGTGGCTATGGCAGCGGCCATTTCCGCTCCGTGGAATTACGCGCTGATTCGCTTCTTCATCGGTTGCGCAGGACCCATTTTTATCTTTTCTGCGTTGCAGCGTCCCGTTGACATTGCTAAGCCCCCTGATACCCCCTGTGAAGGAGCCACTTTCGTGACCAACCAATCCTGGTGTTCATTGATGTTCGCGCCTAATGTGATTGGAACTGCGAACGCTACAGCAGCCGGATGGGGAAATCTGGGCGGTGGTGTCACACAGATCTTCATGATCTCCGTCCTGTTCAACCCCATGGTGAGCTCGGGAATGGCCGCTGACACAGCCTGGCGAGTGGCCATGATCGTGCCTGCGGTTCTCTTTATCATCACGGCGGCGTGCTTGAAGCTGTTGTGCTGGGACACCCCCACCGCAAAGAGGTTCGACGTGTCCGTGACGGGCAAGACTAAGAAGCCATCCATGTGGGACTACGTTGAAGTGTGCTCGGACTTCAGGGTACTTGTCATGATCATGCAGTGGCCAAGCGGCAAGCAGGCATAGATTTAGTCAGCTGCTTCGCAAGCGCGTAACCATGCAGTATGACCATGCAGCACTGCTGGCCTTACCGCAACCAGTCATCGCTTTCTGCATGGATGATGCTTTTAGCCTGTGCTGGTTTCTTCATCTGTTCCCATCCAGGTACTAGGCTTGCTTCGGCAGGCAAGCGGCTGTCTTGATATGAGTAGGCCCCCACGCCCCGATACTGACCATCGCATCCGCGAGTCATGGCGCCGAGCTCAGTTTGCCAAATTCTTGGACCAAGGCCGTCATGAACTTGAAGGCATTCCGGTGCCAATCTACTGTGAACAGACCGTCAAACGCACTTCGGCGGCGTTTCGTCAACCGGTAGAGCATTTACGCGGCATCTTGACGGGCGCTGCCTGTTCGCTTGCCATGCAGAGAGCCATGCGTCGGCAGGCTGTGGGCAGGTGCTGTTGGTGTAACACGGATGCGGTGCCTTGTTGGCACCATCTCGCTTGGCAGTGCCCTCATTTCCTCCCGAGTAGGCCCCCCACTCCAGCCTGTGCCCTGCAACGCCGCTTCGGCTGGATGCAGCATCACGACGTGACGTACGGCACTGCTGTGCTACACCACCTTGCCGCTGTCAGACAGGCAGTGCTTGATAAGGTTTATGCTCCCATCCCGTAGGGTGTTGGCTTTGGGGTTTCCCTCCGGTTCTCGCTGCCCTTAGGTGGGTTTAGTCCCCCCTTGTTGGCCATGTGCACATTGCAACTTTCGCTTTCGTCTGTGAGGCTGCGCAGCGTGCCGCGCTTCACACACCTAGGTACGCCTAGGCCCGAGGGAGGCGGGAGATACCCCGCTTCATCACGGCAATGGCATCTTCAGGTGCCATGTCGGCCAAGTATTCGCATGGAGCTGGCGATGAACAATCAGTTGGCGACGCACTTCTTGACCTACTTCCAGATGGATGCGGCAGATGCCTCTGCCCTGGCAGGAGCATTTGGCCTTATGAATCTCTTTGCAAGGCCGGTGTTGGCTAGTCACTTCAAGCGCTTGCTTCAGTGACTGAGCTCTTGCACTGATGTACTGCCCGTTCGCTGTGTGGTCCAGTCAGTTAGAAATGACTCCATTATTAATCTCTTTGCCAGGTCTTTGGGTGGAATCACAAGCGACATCCTCTTCAAGTACATGGGATTCCGCGGCCGCATCTGGGCGCAATTCTTGTCCCTCTTCTTTGAAGCAATCTTCCTCTTCTGCTTCGGCTTGGTGGACAATTCCCAGCCTTGGCACGTGGCCTTGGCAGTCCTGGTGTGCTTCTCCCTTTTTGTCCAGATGGCGGAGGGAACCAGCTACGGCATCGTGCCGTTTATGAACAGGCCACAGCTAGCGGTGGTGTCTGCCCTTGTTGGTGCTGGAGGGAATTTGGGAGCTGTCATTGCAGGCTTTTGCTTCTACCGACCGATCGATGATCCCTTGCTTCCTTTCCAAGTGCACGCTGGCTACGTAATGTTTTGGGCGTTGCTCAGCCCTTGCTACTACTGGGCGGAGCACGGTGGCATGTTTCATGGCCCTGCGGTGAAGACGTCAGAGATCAAGGCCGCTGAAGAAACGAAGGAAGCTCCCGCCGCCGAGACGTCGGTGTAGAAGCGCAACAAGGTGACTCCTTGTGGCAAAGACTGCCGCGCTGCTGTAGAGCTTCTTACTCATGTCACTGGAGTGACTGAAGTCTGTTTGCCCAAACTGTCTGCAAGTGTATAGGCATAGATATATTGTCTTTTCCTGTCGAAGCACGACGAAGCGTTGTTGACTGCATTGCAGCTTAGCGGGTCCTGGCGTGGAGTGCAGGGTCGCAAGCGCAGAGCAGGGTTTTGGCAGCCTTGGCACAGAGTGCGAGGTTGAAGGCGCAGCTGGGCATCGATGTTCCCGGAACAAGGTCACTTTGAATGTGCAGGCTCATAGACCAAACCAGTCAATCTGACACATTCCCTCAACCCGAAACCCCGACTGCCTTGAGAAGCCAGTACCCTGGGGCTCCAAGTATACAAACAGTACCTACTTTGGGGTCTAAAGTCTACAAATAATACCTACTTTGGGCTATTTAGAGCCCCAGGGGTGTGAGCCCCAGTCCCAGATACGTCCGAACAGCCCAAACAACCAACGACAAACGCTTAAAACTACCGCAACCAAGGCGATGCGCTCCCAAATCGACGCAGGCAAGTCGCAGGCCAGATACCTTAGACATTAATGTGGGAAGCTGATGAAGAAACCCTGGGCCTATAACCCCAAATAGTGGGATTCATGTAAGGAACATAGATAAAGGCCCAAAGTTTCCTAATCAGGTTCCTACATTACCCTCCCATGAGGCATCGGGAGAGCCCATACAGGTTGGATCCTTTGGGGATGTATGTTGGGTTCTATCTGGGGTCTATTTCCACAAGGGTGGGTTTGGAGGGCTTGGGGTTCTCAGTACTCCAGCAGTACCTTGTAATGGGAATATGAGTATAGTAAATTACAGTCGCAGGGTTTTCCAGAAGGGTTCTCACATGCGAAGTTTCACGTTGGCACTTTAGCGGAAAAGGGTGCGCTTTTGATCATGTGGATGCTGGACTTACCCATAGGCTCCATAGTAGTTCCCTTTTGGGATTACCTTATAGGATTCTAAATACGAACCCCAAAAAAGAAGTACTATGGAGCCTATGGGCAAGGACTAGATTACAAAGTTGAGGGCTTTCTGGTTGGTTGAGAGGCGAGATATTCGACTCTAGGGTTTGAGGGTTTCAGAGCTAATATAGGGGTCTTGATAATTTTTGCCTCTACTCCCTATTCTAATTATTTAAGGCCATTTAAGGCCCCTTTGTTTGGGTGTGTAATTAGTATAGCGCTTTGTTGTTTTCTGTTTGAGGTTGTGCCTAGCTTTTGAGCCCCCCGAAACCCTAAACCCCAAAACTAAACCTCAAACTCGTGCTGAGCCGTGGATTGAGTTGAGTGCCCGCTGCCCTATAGTATTTATAGTTTGTGTATTACTAGGTATCGTTACATTTATCCATATCATACTACATTATGGGAGTTTCCGAAAATATGGGACCCTAATATAGTACCCTAAATAGTGGGATCCTTATTATAAGGACCCCAAAACAAGGTACCCCTAATTTTCGGAAACTCCCTTATCTCCGACTGCTGCAGATGACGGCAAAGCACGAGCAGATGACTGCGGCTGATGAGGAGCCTCCTGGTTCGCGTAAACCTTTGAACCCTAACCCACCCTACAAAAATCCCTAAACCCCAAACCCCTAATCCCTAAACGTCCTAAACCCTAAAACCAGCAACGCAAGCTCTGAGCCCTCAGCAGCTCTCAAGCTCTGCGCCTGAAAGATCCAAAACCTGTTGAGTTTCGCGAATGTAGAGTTTGAGATGTAAAGTTGGCTGTCTCTAGGGCTCCAGTAACCTCTTTAATAGGTTACTGGGGTATAAAATATATGGCGAGTAACCTACTATTCAGGGTGTGGGAGTATTGGCAGACTGGCAGGCGGGCAAGTTAAAAGTTGGGGCTCTCAAGCCTCACCCAATGTTAACCTGAACCTACGAAAACCTACTTTTTTGTAGGGTCCCCATAAATTCCATATTAGGGTTTATAAGAAGAACCTAACAAAAGCGTAGGGTTTGGTAGTTCAAGGAAATGCTTAGCTCTGAACCCCAGAACCCTACAGCTTGTGGAGGCCCACCGAGACCCACTGAAGTAAGCATCGATAGCCGAAGTCCTCTCATTTATCCCAGCAGCAAACCCTTTCCGGAAGCTTCAAACCAAAAAGCCAAGAACCCAAACCAAAACAACCCAAAGCCCCAAAGAAGTCCAGAAACCCTAGAAGCCATAAGCCCTAGACGCAAGACACCAAAAACCTCCGAAGCCCTGCAAAGCCCACCAAAGAAATCAAAAGAAGCCCTCAATCCTCTAGGGGCTTTATAGTAACCCTTATAGTAGTCACCGTCATAGGACCCTGTTTAAGAAGCCTTTAGAGAAACCCTATTCTAATCTTTAAGGCCCTATACTACATTCTCATTATCTCAATCCTATATTACTCCTTAGGGCTCCTTATAAACTATACCTAGGATGCCCAGTAGTACCCTTATTCCCTTTTTGTAGTCCTAGGTTCCTTATAAAGTTACCCAATACCAAAAAGAGAGGCCTTTTTATTCTTAGGTTACTGGGTATCCTAGATACCATAAAGGAGCGCAGAACCCTATTCTAATTCTCGAGACCCCTACTTTGTCATAGTTGGGTAACATTTTACGTTTTTATGGGCACTTAAACCCAATAAGGACTAAAAATGTTAAGTTTTCATCCTACCCAAACAATGAACGAGCATAAGGGAACTCCAGAAAGTTGGAATATGGTTTCAGGGTAGGATACCCCATAATTTACCATAAAGGGTTTAGGAAAATCATCTACCAACCTGTCTTTCTGCGACTTCACGAGGAGCGCGCTCAGACGCAGCAGGCGAGGTCCGACCCAGCGGTCGTGTTGCCTCGGTCTATAAGTTTAGAGGGTATATATATATATATATATATATATATATATATATATTCGCATACACTTATACATATTATGCATGTGTATATATATATATATGCATATATATATATGTATATCTATAGATATTTAGACAGGTAGGTAGGTATTTGTATAGATGCCAATTGAGACGATTTTTATTCGGGCTCCTTGTCGTCAGTAGACTATAATAAGCTCAATCCGTAATTGGTTTCATTGTGAGGCCCCTAAAATATGCATCCACAAGCCCAAAGCCCTAAACCAAAACTCCCCAAACCAACAGTATACAAAGCTGGACACCTAGCGGTATTGTTCCCGAGGTTTACCACTACGGTTGATGATAAAAAAACTTCCTGCATTACCCATAACAGGGAATATACAGCAATTCCCATAGTCTAGGGTCCTTAAGGTAATGCAGGATTTATACCATCAACAGTACGTCTCCCCCACAAAAGAAAACCAGTCTTTAAGCATTCAGGGCGCAAAAAATGCGAATTCCGCAGCTTCCTCCCCGGGACGTCCTCGATGTTCGACCCTTGAGGCTCTGAAGCCAACCCCTAAAACATACGGTAGATGATATGGGACTTTCCAAAAATTGGGGTACCTTATTTTGTGGTCCTTATAACAAGGATCCGAGTATTTGGGGTACTTTATTAAGGTCCCCTATTTCCGGAAACTCCCATATAAATCCTGCATTACGTTAAGGACCCTCAACTATGGGAATTATTGTATATTCCTTATTATGGGTAATGCACGATTTATACCATCAACCGCAGGGGTCGGGTGCCTGGAACTACGATGTTCCCTGACAGGACCTTTAAACGCCAACCCCGGGAAGTTCAGGGCCCGGGCTTTTGGAAGACATTGGCCTCAGAGCTTAGGGTTTATAGGGACCCAAAAAGCACATAAGAATAAGCATGTTTATGGGGATATCCCTACCTTATTGGGCTTCATTGTAAGGGGGTTTATATGGAGTAACCCTAACCGTATTTTTGCTTACGTGCTTTTTTGGAGGGCCCTAGAAACCCCTAAACCCTAAAGCCTAAGCTCTGAGGCCAATGTCTTCCAAAAGCCTGAGCCCTGAACTTTCCGGGGGTTGGCGTTTAAAGGTCCTCTCAGAGAACTTAAGTCCAGGCACCCGACCTCGATATGAATTAGGGGAAGCTGGTGTTTTCCACCACAAGAGAACTACCCAGAGACTCCAATATCCCTTATAAGTAAGGAATATACCTTACATCATAGTAGGGATCCTACCCTAATTTAAGGTATATTCCGGATCCTTAATTAAGGAATATTGGAGTCTCTGGGTAAGCTGGGCCGAGGGAGCTTTCTGGTGCGACGTAGGGGGTCAGCTCGGTCTCGGCTCGAATGGGTCGACGGAGGAGGTTCCAGGGTCCGGAGTTCATTGTTGATGGTTTCGGGCTTCAGGGCACGCTTTTTGGTTTGGGTTTAGGGCTTTAGGGTTTTAGGGTTTTAGGGCTTTAGGGTTTAAGGTTTAAGGTTTGTAGGGTTTAGGGGTTTAGGGGTTTATGGTTTAGGGTTTCAGGGTTGAAGGTGTAGGGTTTGGGGTTGAGCTAGGCAAGTTGGACTGCACTCCTTTTGAGTTCTGAAGCTGTCAAGTGTTTAGGGAGTAGGAGCCACATGCCTTTGGACCAGTGGAGGCAATCAAGGATTCTCGGGAGACCATGGGTGAGGACATTGCGTGCCCTGCCAGCATTTCTTCCCCAAGCCTCTAAAACCCCAACGCCGTAAAGCCCAAACCCCTAAACCCCAAGCCAAACCCTAACCCTTCCTACAAACCCTAAACCCTAAAACCCTAACCCTGCCTAGAAACCCTAAACCCTAAAACCCTGAAGCCCTAGCCCTTCCTACAAACCCTAAGCCCTAAAACCCCATAAGCGGTCGACCCTTATCCTTGATCCCAACGTGGACCACCAACATATGGGAGTTTCCGAAAATGAGGGGTACATATTCGGGAGTCCTTATATTAAGAATCCCAGCCCGCTTTTGTAGAATAATTGCCTTGGTGTAGGTGCTGGGCTATGATTGTACCTACTTGGGCGGGGGGACTTCATCTCTGTAAACCCTGACCCCTCAACCGTATCCCAAGCCCAAGTCGCTGTAGTATCGGGGCCCGAAAGTAGCTAGAAAGCCTTAAAACCTCGCAGAGCCTCGAGCCTTTGACCCCTAAGTCCCAAAGCCGCCTCCTAAGCCCTCACCATCCCTCAACCCGAAAATTAGGGGTACCTTATTTTGGGGTCTTGATAGCAAGGATCCTACTCTTTAGGGTGCTGCATTAGGGCGCCCTATTTTCGGAAACTCCCATAGTTCCGAAACCTTACTTAAACCCAAACTCCAAAGCCTTAGATGCTACCTGCAGTCTCCATTGTAGCTCCTTCTTTGGCTAACCAAGTCTCTTTTACAGGATCCTAACCATGGTTAGCCCAAAACTACAATGGAGACGAAAGATAAACCCCAAACCCTAAATCCTACTCAGGTTCGCCAAGGACGTACACGCACGGCGGCCCATTGTTGAGCCTAGGCTCACTACTTTTGCCGATGCGCCGGTGAAGAAAGCCTCGACTTCGCGCCGGGGCTCCGCTCGGGCCGTTGATGCGAATGCGGCGACCGGAGCTACGCGCCGCCAAGCACTATGGGCTATTAGACCTTATGGGTACCTTAATCTACCCTTAATAGGGTCCTAATAGGGATCTTTAGGGTCTAATAGCCCATAGTGGAAGCGGGCTGCACCTGGAGAGATGCCTGGCGAGACAATGCAAGTTGATCGTGAAGGTTCTAAGGAGGAAGGAGCTTGGAGCCCTGTGGGTGAGCTGTGCACCAACGCCGGTTGCGGGAACTGCATGTTCCTCGCCCTCAGCCAACTCAACCTGGGAGGCAAAGAACGCACCCATCGTCAGTTAAGGCGATCTGCTGCTCAAGAGCTTGAGGTCCATCGGGCTGTGCTCGAAGCTCTTTGGGTCGCTGGGGGGCTTACAACTGCTTGGGTCGTCCTGCGGACATCAAGTGGGAAGCCTTCGTGTTGGAGTCCTCCTCCAATGCTTCGTGTCGTGCGCCGGCTCCCTGGAGCTTGCGGCCATTGCTATGACTATGAACCTGCGTGTTTGGATTCACGAGGTTGGACTGCACTCCTTTTGAGTTCTGAAGCTGTCAAGTGTTTAGGGAGTAGGAGCCACATGCCTTTGGACCAGTGGAGGCAATCAAGGATTCTCGGGAGACCATGGGTGAGGACATTGCGTGCCCTGCCAGCATGTCTTCCCCAAGCCCCTAAAACCCTAACGCCGTAAAGCCCAAACCCCGAAACCCCAAGCCAAACCCGAACCCTTCCTACAAACCTTAAACCCTAAAACCCGAACTCTTCCTACGAAAACCCTAAACCCTAAAACCCTAAAGCCCTTACCCTTCCTACAAACCCTGGGCCCTAGAACCCCATAAGCGATCGACCCTTACCCTTGATCCCAACGTGGACCACCAACATATGGGAGTTTCCGAAAATGAGGGGTACATATTCGGGAGTCCTTATATTAAGAATCCCAACCCGCTTGTAGAATAATTGCCTTGGTGTAGGTGTTGGGCTATGATTTTACCTACTTGGGGGGGTTAGGTAAACCCTTGATCCCAAGACTTCATCTCTGTAAACCCTAAACCCTAAACCGTATCCCAAGCTCAAGTCGCTGTAGTATCGGGCCCCGAAAGTAGCTAGAAAGCCCTAAATTCCAAAGCCTCGAACCTTTGACCCCTAAATCCCAAAGCCGCCTCCTAAACCCTCAACATCCCCTTATGTTGGGGTCCTTATACTAATGATCCTGCTATTTAGGGTGCTGTATGAGGGCCCCCTTTTTTCGGAAACCCCCATGGTTCCGAAACCTTAAACGCTAACTCCAAAGCCTTAGATGCTACCTGTCGTCTCCATTGTAGCTCCTTCTTTGGCTAACCAAGTCGTCTATATTACAGGATCCTAGCCATGGTTAGCCCAAAACTACAATGGAGACGAAAGATAAACCCCAAATCAGGTTCGCCAAGGACGTGAAGGAGAAGTGCGCCAAGAAGGGCAAGGACCCAGCCCATCGTGCTTGGGCGTTTTGGCCTTTAGAGGTCCCAACCCAGAGACTCCAATATCCCTTGAATAAGCAATACCCTAAACCCTAAACCCCCAATGGTAGGATCCCTAATATACTTTAAGGTAGTTGAGGTTGGAGTCTCTCGGAGCGGCCTCTTCGGGGTTGTCGGGTTTAGGATTTTAGGGTTTCAGGTTTAGGATCTTAGGGTGTAGGTGACAGCTTCTAAGAGGGCCTACAGCTGCCACTGGTAGCTAAGGACCCTTCTAGAACCCTAAGAAAGCAAAGGCGCACAGGCCTTTTCGCTGGGCTCGATCACATGTGCCTTCGGCGAACTCGTCTGAAACACTCCAGCGACCTGTGCGAGCGACTTCAGGCTTACACTGGTTAAAATCTCTCTGTTCTTTCTAAGAAAAGTCCTCTTTTAAGAGGTAGCGTGATGCCCTCCTTGAGGGTTTTCCACCACACATCTGTACGCATGGGCTTTGTCAGGGGATCGGCTAGTTGGACCGCTGTAGGGATCCATTGGAGCGGCAAACGGTCAGTCCACTGTTCAGCCCGCAACTCTTGAGTCGATTGCGAGACGACGGTCTGCTGGGAGCCTTGGTGTTCCAGCCTTGTGAAGGTGGTCGTGAAGAGACTTGCAGTCGGACAAGCAGAGAATTGGCCACCGCTTACGGATCTCATGGTGCTTGACGATCCGTCCATGAAGTAGTGAGGCCAGAAGGGCCCTCATGTACTGTCCTCCTTCAAGTCCCTCCACCGCGGCCATTGTCTCCGCACCAAAAGTGGAACGGCACACTCGCTTGCATGACTGGCTCCTCCACTCGAGCAAACTCGTTCGGCAACAGGACCCATCGAGGATGGCCCGGTCGGCCAGTAAGATCAAGTGGCCCAACTGTGAAGCGACCTTGGAAGATCCCTTCTTAGCCTTCCTTGGCCTAGACTCGCTGTAGAAACCGCGTATGGTGCCCTGCTCGATCTCCTCGGCCGTGAGCTTGAACCCGTCCTCGGCCTCCTCGAGCTCGGCGTTGGCCCAGGCCGCGTCGTGGTACACGAGGAACACCGCGTCCTCGAGTTTGGTAGGCCGCAGGTAGATCCCGTTCTCGCGGAACTCCTTGGCCCGGGCCGAGAGCTGGTTCACGAATCGAACATCCTCGGTAAGAGGGGCCCGTTGGAGCTGCTGTGACAATGCCACCCCACACGTCAGGTCTGGGCGACTCTGGCTACTTAGCCAACTCAAAGCACCGATCAATGATCGGTTGTCGATGGCCTGCTCTTCAGTAGCTGGTTCTGTCCCCTTCTGCGAACGGGGAACCTCAACAGTGAACAAACGGCCATCCACAAAGCTCTCCTGGGTGATACTCACGCCATCGTCGTTCACCTGGATGAAGGACCCCACATACTCGAAACTGTCTTCGAGCCAGCCGTCGATCGGGAAAAGGCGCCCGATCCTCCCTTGGAGCATGCGGTTGACCTCGGTAGGGGCGACCACCAAAATGTCGTCCACGTGGAGGGCGAGGTATCCTGCTGGCTCAGAAGCTTCGCCATCCTTGATGAGCATCATCACGCAAGGGTCCAAAGGGCTCGGCACGAGGCGGTGTCGTACTCCTCCGATGTCGAAGACCTCGCTAAGTAGAACGCCAGAAAGCCTATCGTACCACATCCTCGGGCTCTCGGATAGGCCGAAGACTCCCTTCCTGATTCGAGCGAGCTGTCTTGGATCCAGTCCAGAAATCCCGGACTTTGGCTGTGCCATCCACAACCGGCGCCCGAGCTCAACGCCTTGCAAGAAAGCAGCTTGAACATCTCCTGCAGCAGCCTTCCAACGCTTGGAAGCGCATGGCATATCTGAAGCAAAGATATCAAGGATGCCCTCGACACCGTGGGAGAGTCGACCTCGATGTTGGCCACGCCCACATCGGGATCAAGATGTCCAGCCACGACCAGCCTTGATTTAGGCTTCCACTCCACAGTAGGGTCGGCGCGCCTGCGCCCAAGGTGCTTGTCCCTGTAGGCGAAACGTGAGCCGAGGATACGGCTCGCCGGTTCTTCACGGCGAACTCGTTCGCTTTCCTCGACACTCAGGACTTCCAAGGCCCCAGTGTCCACATGTTCTCGCCACTGGACCATCTCCTTCTCCCGGAACTTCGGCCTCATAAACTCCGGGATGAGGGACCAAGGGATCTCCTTCTCTAGCTGCTTTTCCCGGGACCGCTGGGTGCGGGCTCGCTTGATCATGTTCACATCACTGGGCCCTTCGCGGGGCCCACCGTCAACGGCCGCTTCTTCACCGCGCCCCTTGCGTCGCTGTCGCTTCAGGACACGAGGAGGTACACGAACAAGGTCACGTCGTAGCCCACGTCGTTCTTCTTCTCCGTCCAGCTCCATGTCATACACAATCTCGCCAACGCCAGCAGCCCCAGCGTTGAGCATCTCTTCGTCCCCTTGGTCCTCGTGATCCTCGTCGTAGGCGCCCGGCTCATCTGAGTCGGCATTCGACAACTTGTCCAAGTCTTCTTGCGCGACCTTCATGCTGAAGGCCTGACCAAGTTCCTCGCCGGTTGCAAGCCGAACGTGCTCTGGAGCACATAGAACACATCTCCCGGCTCGGGTGATCCATAGGTTCGCGCCTTCTCGCCCGATGACAGTTCCGGGTCCGACCCAGTAGCCCTTCTTGTTGTTCTTCGTCTTGCGAAAGTAGAAGACCCTTTCCCCGGTTTCTGGTGTTCGGCTTTCAACACGGGCGCGCCCTGCAAGGGCGCGGCGAACCCTCTCATCGGTCTGGACATGGAAGTAGGCGGCCCGAGCGGCCGTTCGAAGTGCGACCTCACGGGCGTGCTTGTCGTCGATGATCGCCTCCTGCTCCGGGTGGTCAGCGTGAGGACCCTCAAGAAGATCTTCTGGGAGCCCCGGCATCGATCCAAACACATGCTGGCAAGGACTGAAACCGCTCGTCCGTGTCAGCTGGTTCTTTGCAGAAGAGACTGCGCTCACAGCGAGGTGGAAATCACTTTGGCATACAGAGTGTTCCTCGCAGATCCGGCTGAAAAGGGACTTCCAGATAGCTCCTTGGCGCTCTGTGTAGCCAGCCTGGTGGTGGGCCTGTCCGGCCGCACTGCGAATGCGGGTCCCCGTCCAGTCGCCAATACGGGCTAGAGACTTCTCCAACCCGTTCTCCAAATCGACCGCAACCGTGGTCGGAGCCCCAAAGATCTGAACCCAACTCTCACAGAACGCCTTCTCGAGTGTAACGGTGTCTTTCCTCTGGCCTTCGCTGTCGTGGACATAGAACAAGTCCGTGCCAACCATCTCGTTGAATCGGTAGCAGGGGGCAATCTTAGCCGGTTTGGGGATAACCGGCTGCTTGCTCCTTTGACAAACTTGGCACTCTAGGGCCTTGGCCCCTTTCAGAACTTCACGGGATGCCCCGGCCAGGCGTAGATGACGAACAAAATCGGCGGTGCTAGGGTGTCCAAGGTTCTGGTGTAGACGACGCAGACTGGTCGCTATCGTCTCGGAGACGGTGGGCGGAAAACTGATTGCCCGGGCACCTCGTGGTAAGGGGCCCTCATCTTCAGCTCCGCGTTCTTCGCTTTGTGCAGGGAGCAACTCTTCCTCGCTCTCGTTGTCGCCGACGTACACGGAGTGGATCTCCCCCTCTGACTGGGCCTGAACGACCCGGATGTACTGATGGCCGTCCTCGGTGAAATCGTAGGTCACGTCGTAGCCCGCATCCTCCCAGCCATTGGCCAAGCTCTCCCAAAGGAGAGGTTCTTCGACCTCCCTCTCAAGCACCACGGCTTGTCCCCTCCCGAGTTGGTAGCTGATCGCCTCGACCAAGTCACGGAACACCGCGTCGCAGCCCCATTCGGGTAGCATGTGAATCCAGAGCTGCCCGGGTCGGTGGCGGACGACCGCCGCCTCGATGTAGCCAATGCCCAGGTCCTCCGGGTGGTCGTTGGAAAGCACGTCCTCAGGGAGCAGAGGTTCCACGAGGTGGTCGCCGCAGATATCGTACTCAGCAAGCCGGCAGGTAGCAGAGAGTCCACCAACTTCAAGAATGGCGGTTGCAGGGCTGACATGAGCAGGTAGTGCATCACGTACAACACCGCACATGGTCGAAATGGCCGTGGTGAACAAGACAGACAACATCATGGCCGTTCGGCGGATGCCCTTCCGAACGCTCCGTTTTGGTCGCGAACCTGAACCTCCTTCGTGGGCGATCTCCTTCTCCGGGATGTCGATCGCGTAGTCGTCGCGCTTCTTGATCTCCCGGATCTCGGCCTTGGTGGGTACCGGGAACTTGAGGTCGTTCAGGATTTTCCTCTCGCTCTTGGAGGCTTCCGGAAAAGAGCGCGGGGTGTATCCCGCAAGAAACCAACGCTCGCCGTCGAAGGGCTCGGTGGCGTGGGCGAGCCGTGGATCGAACTCCCATCCTTGTTCGTGGGCGTCAACAATGCGCCCCTCGATCTCTTGGCCATTTCCACTGCGGCGCCAAGTTCCGCCGCCCTTTTCCTGGATCCAGACCCCTCCTCCATTGCCGCTGCCAGAACTGACCAGGTAGTTGAAGCTGCCCTTGAGGTTGTTCCGGTCCGTGTGGACCCCAGTAGGTATGTCGCCCAGTAGTGCAAGGGCCGCCCACGTGGCCCGGCCTTGACCATGACCGCTTTCCCCAACGCAATCAGCGAGGAACTCGTTCAAGTAGGTGGTCAACTTGGGCCATTCGGTCGTACGGCGGCCGACTCCCTTGAAAGTGCCGTAGGCGTAGTACCCAAGATTGCACCGCTTCGCTTCCTCACTTTCGCCATGCAATCCAGCACGACGATGGTTTGTGGGCTTGAGATCGTAGTTCGCAAGGACCTTGGAGACGGTACCGAAAGTAAAATCCCGTTCATGAAGTGCAGCTCCGGCAGTGTCTTCTCCAGGATGGGCCTTAGGACCTCGAGAACCTCCGTGTCGCGTAGCAAGGATCCCATGGTTCGAGTCTTCCGAACCAGAAGAACACGATCTGAAAACCTCGCCGGGTTCGTAGTGCATGTCGTGTGCCCCAAATGGGGCGCCTTGGTCCTCATAGCCATCGCCAGGGTTCAGCCCTGGTGCGGTGCCAAACCGCACCTGTCGCGTAGGGTGGCCAGGCGCGCTTCGCGTGCCTGGATCTCGTCCATCGTGGCCGGGTCGATCTCCTGCTCCATGCGCTCGGGGCCCTCCGAGTCCTTGGTCTTCGTCTTGGCTGAGCGGTGCTTCGGCTTGGCAGCTGGCACCGGTGTCTGGGCTTCCCTCCACAAGGCCGGACGGCCTCTCGCATGCGGGTTGTACCCCTCGGAGAACGCACTCTCGTAGTCCGCCACCATCGCCCAGGACGACGAACCCGTCTCGCTGATCGGCGGCGGGGGCACCGTCGCGTAGGTCTCCGCGTCGAGGTAGGTCGGCTCCATGGTGCTCGCCGCCGCAGCCGGGGTGTTCTGTCCCTTGGACCTGCGATGTCGCCGCCACATCACAAACCGCTTCAAGTCGTTGTGCATGTTGGTCCCATTCTGGCGTTCTTCCTCCGACGCCCAGTCTCCGTAGTTGTCTGGGATCTGGGCAAACGTTGTCCCTCGGAACCGACCAATGGTCATGACGGTATCCGCCGGGGCCGCTGCGTCCCTGATGCGTAGCATGAGACTCCCCTTTGTGTCCCCGGACTTCACGGTCAGCTCCATCTTGTGCGCCTCGGCCTTCAGCTCGTCCAGGTTCATGGACGACAAGCCCTTCGGCACCGCAACTCCCTTCCTCTTGGTCTCGTACTCCCGGTCCGCGATGAGGATCGTCCGAAGTTCTGGGCACGTCCAAGCCTCGTTGAACGCCAGCTGCCGGCGCTTGCACTCGTCGATCAACTGGGCCTTTGTCATCTTCCATACTGGGAGCATGATCGACGGGACGCGGAGGGGCAACAGATTGAGCTCGATTGAACACACTGCGGCCGACCCACAATGTTGGATACTCGCCAAGATCTTTGACAGCCTACTGCTCAGTCACTGTAGACAACATGCGTCGTGACATGCAACCGATGCCCCATGATTCCCTGACACTCCCAAGCTGACGCAGCAAAAGATCACGTAGGTGGGTTTGGCTTGTCTCCCATCTTCGAGGATCAAAGAACTTTCTTCGAGGAGTGATGTGGACACGAACTAGTTTGTTGGGTAGCTCAATCCAAAAATCGTTTACGAGTTCTGTGTTGGCCCACCATGTCACAAAGAGGTCCTCGTTAAGAACGTCACCCGTCAGCATGTCCCTAACAGCACCATCTATCTTCTTGTCGTAAAAGATCTTCGTCACCGCATCGACATCACCAGGATCCCTTTGATCATCGCCCGAAACATCCCCGCTGCAAGCAACCATGTACACCTCGCGAGGGCCGAGGATCGCGATTCCATGTGGCTCCCAGTTGTCAGGGAGCCTTGAAGTGTCCGGCTTAGCCAGCTTGGAGTGATCAACTACAACAGCAGGGTGCCCACTCGTAGTTTCCTCCAGTTCGACCTCGCCACCGTCGAGTGCGCGGAAGGTAGCAACGTTACTTCCGAGGTCCAAGACGAGGCCGAGTCGTGCCAAAGCCGGTCTCGAAAGAAGAAGTGGGATGTCCCCGTGGATCACCGAGGCTTTGATCGCGATGATGTGGTCAAGAAGAGGTACGAGGATCACCGCGGCATAGGTGGACTCGTAGATCCGGCTGGCGGCCCCGAACTTGAAGCTCTCCTTCTCATAAACAAAGACCACATCGTAGCCGCTTCCCTTGACATAGTCCAGGTACTTCTGAAGCCACCCAGTCCCAACCACAGTCTTAGAGCAAGCGGAGTCCAGGATCGCCTTGAGGCCCTCGCGCGTGCCCGTGGTGAGCTCAAACACCTCGTTGGTGACGTGGATCGTCTGTGCCTTGGCGCCGGGGCCTTGGTTGCCATTGCCAGGGAACTTGGGGCAGATAGCATCTCTGTGCCAGTGGCCTCTCTGCCCACAAGCAGAGCAGTGGGACTTCGCTTTGGCCAACTGGATTTTGGCCTCGGCAGCCTTCCGGATGCCACCCGAGTCGGCCTCAGTGGTTCTGTAGTCAGTTCCCCGTGCCTTGGCAGACTCTTTGTAGCGGGCCTTTGCTGTCATGTAAGTGAGGTAGAGTTCTTCGGAGTTGCATTCGGGGTCATCGTGAAGAGGGGGCTCAACATCCGAAGCCTCGCCGCCATCCAGGTCGTCCGTCTGGTTGACACTCTGGGGCTTCCCACGGAAGCCTGCCTTCTCCCAGGGTTTTCGCATTGACCTGTCCAAGACGATAGCCGCAGACTGCAAGGCCTTGAGGGCGTACTTGTTACCTACACTCGCAAGCAGGCTGACCTCCGTGGCCTCGTCGAGGTTGGCCCTGTCCACGAAGAGCCAAGCATTGGCCACGTCTGGCAGAGCGCAACCGCACTCTATGACTCTCGCCAGCAAGCGGTTGAACTCCGCGGCATAGTCCCGGAAGCTCTGTTGAGGACGCCTGCGGAGCTTCCTGAACAAATCACTCAAAGAGCGTCCCACCTGTGTGACCTCCACGTCCAAGTAGTGCTGACGAATCCATTCTCGTAGACGGGCCACGCCTTCAGGATGGGCGAGATCCTCAACATTCAAAGACTCAGAGTTCACCCAAGCAGAACCAGATAAGTGCTGATATAGCACCAGCGCGCGTTGGTCTGGGGCCAACTTGGTCATTTTCTCCCAAGCATTCACCTGTCTCAGGTAGCTCCGCGCCGATGTTCCAAGGTCGCCGCCATTCTCGGTGTCCCCGGTGAAGGTGGGGACGATGAGCCGTTCCGTAGGCCCCTTTGTCCCTCCAAAAGACTGGTGCGCAGTCCCTGTAGACGCATCCCATGTCGCCGCAGGCCCTCCATTCCACGAACTTGCCGTAGTAGCTGCCGCGGTCCACGTAGTCGGCGGAGTCCCGGAGGTACTTGTAGAACCCGCTGTAGGCCCCACGTCTCCATCCCACCACGTCCATGAAGAACTGTTCCATGTAATCGGCGCCGTCCCGCTGGTACTCGCAGAGGTCGAAGTAGAGACGTTGTCGGCTGGCATCCACTGCCAGCGGCCCCAGTCGCCTTGGGATCGCCACGTCCGGTTCCAGCGGCCCCAGCTGCCAGAATTTTGAGTAGCCCAAGACCAGTTCGAGGCCCCGTTGCTGTCGGCGGAATGGTTGCCGCCGTCGCTCCCTCCATCTTGAGAACCTCTGCTGTCCCAGCGTGCCTGCCAGGCTTCCCAGTCTTCCCTTGTCCAAGGCCCAGATGCATCCCCGTCACCTGAGGCCCCATTTCCTTGGACTTCCCAAGACTGATCATCAGTAGCAGGAGTAGGTCGCGCAGCTTCGCGTTCAGGCTCGGCAGCAGCATCAACTTGATTGCCGCCGCCCCAAGGGTCTGAAGTGGACCACGGGTCCGCACCATCAGGACTGGCCATGGAGCGAGAGGCTCCGCTACCAGTGACAGCTTCTAAGAGGGCCTACAGCTGCCACTGGTAGCTAAGGACCCTTCTAGAACCCTAAGAAAGCAAAGGCGCACAGGCCTTTTCGCTGGGCTCGATCACATGTGCCTTCGGCGAACTCGTCTGAAACACTCCAGCGACCTGTGCGAGCGACTTCAGGCTTACAGTAGGGTTCAGGATTCAGTTCATGATTCTTTCCGAGATGACGTGTGTGTGGGGTTGAGGATTTCGTAGATCGTCATATGGGCTTTATATGGTTTCGCACGGGGTTGCAGGGCTTATAGGGATCGGGAATCAGGGTTTGCCAGCTTTGGGTTGGGTTTAGGCTTAGGGCGGCCCTAGTTAGGGAACCTCAAAATCTCTGTTTTTCGTGCCTGTTCGGTTGAGCCGTCTACTCCCAGCGTGTCCCTCCTTTTAGGTCAGTTCTTTCCTGCTGGCCTGATGGGATGAGGGGTGGGCACAGGTTGTCTTAGTGTTGTTGGTGCTTGTTTTTACTGCTCTGGTTACAGCCGCGGAACCAAAACCCCGAAACCCTCAAGCGGTAGCCCTGAATTTTGACGTAAAAACCAGCCCCAAAAAATTAACACCCCAACATCCCTATAAACCCTAAACCCTAAACCCAAAAAATTAACACCCCAGCATCCGGAAACCCCTGAGACCCGAGACCGGCTGCAACAGGAGTGGGAGAAGCGCCAGAAGACCCGCGCCGACGAGACTCAGTCCGTAGCCAAGGCACGGCTTTGTTGTTTCTGGGGTATCGGGGTGTAGGCTTTTGGGATATTTTTGGGTTTTGGGTTTTGGGGTTTAAGTTCAGAGTTTCTAGAGCTTATAGGGTTTAGGTCCCAGGATCTAGGGTTTAGAGCTTGCGCGGTTGAGGGGCTAGCTAGGCTTTGGGGCTCTGGGTTCAGGCAGAAGGAGGTGTTAGGTTGAATGGTCTTGGTTTCCGCTTTTCAGTTTGGATCAATTATCCCAGAGGGTCCATATATACGCTACAATTGTGGAATTAGGTGCCGCAAGACCATCCCTATTCTGGCTTTAAGGACCTATAATGGTAGTGTATATGGACCCGTCAGGTAACATACTCAACTCCACATCTTCCGAAAGAGGTTGTTTTTTTCGATCCTTCCTAGAAGCTGGGTAGTCAGGTCATACTGTGCAAAGCCTTGGACCCCTTGACCCCTAAACCCCTAGCCCTTAGCCCTCAACCCCTCAACTCCCCCCTAAAACCTAAAGTCTCAAGCCCTAAACCCCTAATCCTTAAACCCCTAAACCCTAATCCCCAAACCCTAAACCCCTACTCCTTCACTGGGAGATACCGGAGTTCGAGTAGAAGGGCTTTCTCATGAATAAGGGCTTCAGGACATCGTGCATTCCATCGCTGTCGGGGTTCCGCTTGGGCCTTAGAGGAACACTATATGAACTTCAGTAGAATCTCTCTTGGCACCCTCATAAAGCCCTTATTGCAAAATTCCCAACCCTCGGAAAGCAACTTGCCTTACACCCTGACCCCTCAACCCCAAAACCCTTAACCCCAACACCCCAACCCTAAACCTAGGCCCTAAAACCCTAAACGCAAGCTCTGAATCCTTAACGCCGCAAAGCAAAGGCGATCGAAGTTCTGAGCGACGATGCCTCCCATGAGGCGTGGACCTGTGAAGTGTTTTGGGGTTTAGTTCGTGTTCAGGGTTCTAAGTTCTGGGTTTAGGGTTTAGGGTTTTTAATTGGGGTTGGAGGGTTTAGGGTTCATTCGGGGTTTAGGGTTTAGGGTTTTTAGGGTTGGAGGGTTTTGGTTTAGTTTCAATCGCGTTCATTGGGTGATTTCAGGGGCCGGTTTTCGGTGTTAGAGGCTTCGTGGTTGTTGCGGGGTGTGTGGGGTCTTTTCAGGTTGTGGGTTCAAGAAGATGTTGGGCATTCCGGTCCGAGTTCCAGGTTCAACACTTGTAGGGCTTTTGGGCATTTAGCCGCCCCTTCTGCCTCTAGGCATACTTAAGCGTGTAACTTTTAGTTTGCACTGTTCAGGTCTAGGTGTTAAATTAGGCTTTAGGGCTCCGTTCTTTTTTTGTTTCGGCCGTTTAGCCTGACTCCCGGTTTTCACCAAAGCTGCCATACCTGTCTCAAATAATTTGAATCCCGCATTAAACCCCAAATCCCTAAACCCTCAAACCTACCCAAAACCTCGCCTTTTTCTGGGATGGTGATTGTAAATTCCAGATCAGGGTTCGTTGTAGGACCCTACAAAAACCAGTCTAAGATCCCTAGACCCGAAAACCCTAAACCCTTTCTGGTTCTAGTATATATTGAAAATACATAGGTTAAGGCACGCCCTGTGTTGTGTCAGGTCGCCTCTTGAAGCTCGAACTCTGAAGTGTTGTTCACGGCTTTATGAAATTTCCGTAGGGGCCCATAGATGATCGTAATGTAGGAACGTAGGAACCTGATTGAGAAACGCTGGGCCTATGACCCCCCCCAAAATAGCAGGATTCATATAAGGAACCCTGATAAAGGCCCAAGGTTTCTTAATCAGGTTCCTACATTACCCCAAGTCTTCCAACACCTTGTGCTGCCCTTTGGGGCACGGGTGGCATCTGGGCATACCTCAGAGTGGCAGACGTGATCTGCTTCCTGATGTTAGTTTTGCTGTACGTTCCAGCAGCACACTCCGTTGACGACTTCTACTACAGCGAACCAAGTGTTGCATGGCACTTCAGCCAAATGGGAGTTTCCAACAACAGGGGGCCGTAATATAGCACCCTAGATAGTAGGATCCTTATTATAAGGACCCCTAAATAAGGTACCCCTCTTTGTCGGAAACTCCCATATGACGCAAAAAAGAGCTGCAGCAGCAAGAGCAGGATGAGGCGAATCGTCGTCAGATGGCCAGCGGCTACCCATGAGGCTCCATAGTAGTTCCTGTTTGGGATTACCTTATAGGATTCTATATATGAACCACAAAAAGGAACTACTGTGGAGTCCTATAGGCTAGCGACGAGAACTGCCCAGGTCAGCCTTTGACGGCTTCTGCGAGCTGCAGTCGCTGCTGGGGTTCACGATGAAAGAAACAAAACAGCTCATCTCGCTGCTGTCGTCAGATGGCTCGAAGCTGCTGTAGGGCCGAAGTGCGGCAGCTGTTATTCACCTTCTCTGCAGCGGCGATGTTCGAGCATGTGCATTGGGTGCCATGGCTCGCATGTGAACGAGAAGCTGCTGTTAAGACTTGAATCAAGATATAATTTCATCGAGGCTTCCGGAACACGACCTAGTTAGGAGTTGTCTGGGAAGTTTTCAGGACAGCGTCACCGTATCTGCATAACGGGTTTTGTGGTGCACCACAGGATTCTTTCTTAGTACCAGTGGTTTACAGACAGAGTCTGAAACTTGGTTGCGCTGTTCATCGAAGTCGGGGTTGCGTAAACTGATTTCTATTTTTTTGCATGTTTCGAAGCCCTTTTCAAGTTTGACCATGCTACTTATATATTGGAACAGGGGCCCGTCTTATGGGTTCATCGGCTAGTTTCCTCGTAAGCCCTACGTACACCTTATGCTCTCAACCCTACACAGTTTCAGCTCCTTACCCAATCAGAGGCCTCATGTCATGTCCTCCAGAAAGGTTAGTTTTATAGCGTGCTAAACCCTCACTCTACGATTTTATGATAGGGTTTCTGGATGAAAACCTCTAGACCCTGAGGTCAAAGTTCCCTGGAGTCGTTCTCTGGATTCTTGTTAACGATTTCGATTTAAGCTTCCATAATACGGAAACCATATTCTTTACTGTAGATCCCTATTATGGCAACTTGAACCTTAAGCCCTAAACCCTTAAAGGAGCTCTTATAGATCCCTTATAGAAGCCTCAAACTCCTTAAGAAGAACATAATTCTGGCAGGTCTTCGGCAAGACCTTCTCTTTTCTCCAGGCTCCCGGGACGTTGCGAGACCCAACATAGGGGCCTTAATAATTATTAGAACAGGGTTTGGGGGTATGCTATGGCATAATTCAAAAAAGGAGCCCCCCCCAAAACCCCGTTCTAATTATTAAGGCTCCTCCTTACATGCTATAGATGCGCGAATATGTCGATCCGTTAAGGCCTTTATCTATAGAATGCTTCTTAAATACTATGAAAGCCGGAAGTTAAAGGAAACCTGTTTCAATCATTCAGTTCCGTGAAGAAGGGCGAGACCATTCACGGGTTTGGGATTTGCAGGTTTAAGGGCTTAGGGTTCAGGTGTGTTTTCATGAACATCTTGGGTTTTGTGTTGCATAAGTTGCAGACCGGATACTTTAGTAACTGTCTTCCATTTGCATCCGCGTCTGGTCTCAGCATCATATAGGGGCCTTAGCAATAAGAATATAGGGTTTTGGGGCATCTTATAATTTTATACACAAAATGAAGAACTCTACGGAATAGTATTGATAACTTTCGAGGCTTTTATATGAATCATAACGCACTCAATGGCTACTATCCTCCGCATCCGGTCAGGGTCACTGATTTCGACACTGCGCACCATTCTCTACCACTATGGGCTATTAGACCCTAAAGATCCCTATTAGGACCCTATTAAGGGTAGATTAAGGTACCCATAAGGTCTAATAGCCCATAGTGGCAGGGAAGGTCATGACTGAAAGCTCCCCCCACAGCCTCCAAGTGCAACAACAAACCCAGAAACTCCCGTATACCTTAATCAGGGAATACCTGGACCCTGCCTTTTAAGCACTTACAGAAGGAAATCATACCAAGGAACCCTAAAAGGGTAGGTTCTTCAAGGGTCCAGGTATACCTCAAATGATCTCAGATGTCACATGCAGGAATCATAGTCGCAGCAGAAGGGCAGTAGGGTATTCCTCTCGTAGGGTGCTTTATATGGTTGATGATATAAATCCTGCATTACCCAGAACAGGGAATATACCATATATAACTCCCATAGTGTAGGGTCCTTAAGGATTACGCAGGATTTCTACCATCAACAGTATCAAGTACTCTGTTTAAGGAGGGACGGCATAAACTGAAGCGGAGCCCGGAAACTGCGAATTGCGTCGTATGACCCTAAAGAACCGTAAGCGTAAGCGTTAATCCCAAACCCTAAACCTTAAATCCTGCATCCCAAAAGCTACCTGACCAAAAATCCTCAAACCTTAAACCTCACACCCTAAGCCCTAAAGCTTAGCGGCAAGCGCTAAATCCCGATATCCTAAACCGTGAAACTAAACACCGATCCGTAAACAACAAGTTTCATGCAACAAGGCAATATTGTGAATATTGTTTCTTAGGGCTCCTTATTATCATGTCAGCATAAAGCACTCCCAAACCGCATTCCACTGCTATTGGCCTACATCGACCGCTACACCCTCAAACCCTTGTTGTAGAGCCTTCTAAGGAACTTTGAAATTCAATCGAAGCCTCTTCTGTAGTTATTAAACTCTCCGATAAGACACTCCGCTAGCTCCCCTCAAACCGGTCCGAAACTTCGAGCTACGGTTAGGGCTTTAGGGTTTCGGGGTTTAGGGTTTAGGGGCTTGAAGTTTCAGGGTAAAGCACCGAGATCTTGAAGTCAGAGGCCAAGACACCCTCGACCACCAGCGCCACACTTCGAAAGCCCCTTCAGGTCGGCACCCGGGATGCCAATGCACGTGCCACGCGTGCCGCAGAGACTCTGACCACTGCTGGGGCGCCCAGTCTGGGACGGGGCTGGCGTAATATAGAAGCTTAAAGGGAACTCCAGAAAGTGGGAATATGGATTAATGGTAGGATACCTTATAATTTACCATAAAGGGTTTAGGATAATCATATTCCAATTTTCTGGCTTTTACCTTAATGGATTCCGGGCCCGGCCCTATACCCCGCTCCGTGGGTCTAGCCATCACCTCCTAGATCGCTGAGTCCTTCACAGCTGTGACAAATCGTCGCGCTGGCAACTTCTAGGTGGTAGATTGATGCAAGTTCTTTGAGCAGGCACAAGACTGTTCAAGGTAAGTATCCTCAGATGATGATTCAAGAGGCGCAAGTCATCTGGGCAATTGTTGCAGTTGCTCTTCCCGAAATGAAGGCGCATCCGCGAGGAGGCCGTTCTGACGCGCAGCCCTCCGACGCAGACTGTTTCAAAGGGGAAAAGGAGGGACCCTTAATGGGGACCCTTACCCTATAATGGGGCTATATAATGGGTATATATTAGCTATATTCAGGGTATATACCTAGGGGTCCTTATTAAGAGTCCCTCCGTTTACCCCTGGACTATTCGTGCTATCGAGCTATGATGATGTCCTGTCTGCTCCCAGACAAAGAACAGGCGTCACCGGTTCATGCGCTAGTAGTGCGTTTTGTTTTGCAGTGCTATACTTCTTCTAAGTCACTTGGGAGCACAGTCTACCAAAAAGTCCAAGCAACTCTTGTTCAGTATCTCCAGACGGAGAGTACGCTAAGCCATGAATAGAAAGAATCTGTGAGAACACAGGCAATTCAGACGTACGTCCGACTGTTTCCCACATACTCCGACCCAGACTTTAAACCCTGAACCCAAAACCCTATACCCCAAACCCAAACCCGGACCCCAAGCCTTTAAACGCCTGATCCCCAGACCGAAGCCCCAAATCCCTGATTCACCCTGGGCTCCGATCGCATGAGCACCACTAGAACCTAAATACCTAAGCGACATCTCACCCTCACTAGGATGCCCAGCAGTACCCTTGTTCCCTTTTTGTAGTCCTAGGTGCCTTATAAAGTTACCCAATACCAAAAAGAGAGGCCTTTTTATTCTTGGGTTACTGGGTATCGTAGCTTACTGAGAACCCCAGAAGACCTTCAGTCAGAAAGACCGGTTATCTTGAAACCTTATGCCCTAAGCCATAACCCCATACAGGCCTCCTTTTCTTACTTGCCTACGCCCTAAACCCAACAGAAGCATCAGAGGTTGGTAACGAGATCCCTAAACCCTAGATCCTAAACCCTAAACCCTACCTCCTTTGTCATGCAGTTCCTTCCACCCTAAACCCGGGGGTTTTGGAGCCCCTAACGCCTGGCAGCCAAAGACGCCAAGGGGAGTTGGGTTGGCGGGTATAATTCCTAGAGACCCATAGAAGCTTACCCGAATTCCTGACCCTAGAGTGGTGAGACACTGGCCCTGTAAAAGCCTCGCAGCCTAAACCCATACAGCCGCTATATTCCCAGAACCTAAACCCTAAATCCTAAACCCCTACCCCTAAACCCCTAAATCCTAAACCCTATTCCCTAACCCCTAACCCCTAAATCCTAAGCCCTAAACCCTTAAAACCACAAGGCCTTCTCTTCAGTCCTTGAGCCCTAGAGGTTTGCAGTCCCCAAATTCTGAACACCGTACCCAGAGACTCCAATATCCCTGAATTAAGGAATATGCCTTAAATCATATGAGGGAGCCTACTATGATTTAAGGAATATTCCGTAATTAAGGGATATTGGAGTCTCTGGGTAACTCTAAACCATATAAGCCCTCGAGCCCTAAACTGTAGAACCCTCAAGCCCAACACAGGGAGTTGAAGATGGGTACAGCATTTGCAGGGACCAAAAAACTTAGTTGTATTTCGGAAGCCCTAACCCTAAACACTGAATTCCCTCAACCCTCTCGCTTCCCTAAGCTCTACACCCAAACCATCCCAAACCTCTGATTCCCTCAACCCTGAGCCCTAAACTCTTACTTCCTCAAACCTCAAAGGGTTTAGGGTTCAAGGTACATCATAGTATATTCGGACCTACCACGGATTTTTCGGGTTCCTTTCTTCAACAGAAGGGACTGTCATGGATGCATGCACTAGCACAATTCTGTATGAGACCAAGAAACACAGTACTCAAAAAACCAGGCCATATGGCAGCAAAGGGTGCCATAACAGTGGTTAAAGTCGTGCAGGTTGGTAAGAAGTTGGACCAGCGCCTGGTGACCCTCGGACTCGAGGCCGGACGACAGGGCGCACTGGCTCTTTTGGAGAGAATCATTAAGCAGTTATTGTTTTTGATTTGATTATCAAATGCCATTAGTCAGTGTTTGGTTTTATTGATTTGATGTCTGTGTGTGCGTGTTTGTTTGGTATTCTTGTGACTATTGTTGCTGTTTTCTGAGAGGGTGGGTTTGCGGTTTCTGATTTGGTAGGGCAGGATGTTGTTCAGGGTTGGGGTGGTCTCAGTTCCCGTCAAAGTTAAGCCCTATAAGGGATATCAAGTGTTTTTTTGGTTTCAGGGGCGCTGATTCTTTTTCAAGCGGTAGGTCCTATGTTTTCCGTGGTTCAGAGGAGTCTCAAAGAACTAGTTTGTTGCCTGTGCTCTCCGGTTTCTGGTGCGCTTGGTGATGGTTAGGAGCTAGGGGGTTCGAGAGCTTTGGAGAGTTGACTTTGATGGCCTCGGATTTATTCTGGGGTCCTTTTGGGGCAAGGGGTTCTAAGGGCAGCATGCAACCCAGTAATCCCCAACTCCTTTTAGCGCTCTCCTAGGCTCCCTGAGGGATCCCCAGAACCTATAAGTTTAGTCTAAACCCTAAACACTAAAGTGGCTTGCGGGGTTTGAGAGAACCACCTTTCAAGGGTTCCTTATTCTGGTTTCTTTCTGTAAGTCGTTAGGCAAGGTAGGCTAGTTGGGGCTAGGCATATCCGGGCTTTGCAAAAATCCGGTTGATGATGTAAATCCTGCATTACTTTATAAGGACCCTAAACTATGGGAATTATGGTAGATTCCTTATTAGGGGTAATGCAGGACTTATAAATATCATCAACAGTAGGTCTGGCAGGAGATGTTTCGGAGTCGGCATTGTCCGGAGGGCCTCTTGCAGAAAGCCCGGGCAGACCCTGCTGTGCGTGCATTGCTGCTATCCGTTTAGGGTTTAGGGTTTAGGGTTTAGGCTGCTATCCAGCTTGCAAGGAGGCAGCGGTGCCGAAATCTTGACCTTAAATGCCCTTGAAGCCTTGACCCTCAACCCCAAGCTTGACCGTAAAGTATGTAAACCCTACAATAGACGAAGACAGCTTGTAAGAGCACCACATCAAGCCTCAAAAGACCCTAAGCTCTAAACCCCCTTATGCACGCTGGGATCTAAACCTGCAGTTGGCTAGTTCTCTAAATGCGGGTCCCTTTTCTTTTCTCAAACTAGTACCGCACCCTTGTAAGAATGACCCTAAAAGGGACCCTAGTCTAGTGAACTACCCAACTAAAAGCAAGCAGAGCCCCGAGTTCCGAAGCCCTAAATCCTAAGCCCTGAACCCGAAACCCTGAACGCTAAATCTTAACCCCTTATAAATCCCCAAACCCTGAACCCTAAACCCTGAACCCTGAATATTAAACCCCTAAAACCGAAACCTTAAACTTAAACCCTCATAATTTTCCCCAAACCTTAGAACCCCCTAAACCTTAAACTTAAACCCTTATAATTTTCCCCAAACCTTACAATCCCCTAAACCCCAAACCCTAAAACCCTAAACCCCAAACCAAGCAGAGCCCCAGCTCCGTCCTTTGCCTCATATCTGCCAACCGCCATGAGGCGAAGATCGACGGCTTCAGCAAGGTCCAGGCTCCTCACTAGTTTATTTAAAGGGTTTAATATAGGGGCCTTAATAATTACCTATACTTTTTTGGGGTTTCCTTATTATAATCATACTATAATGGGCCCCAAAACCCTATTCTAATTATTAAGGCCCCTATATTAGGGGTTTAGGGGTTTGGGGGTTTAAGGGTTTAGGGTTTCTGGTTTAGTGTTTAGGGCTTATATGCTTAGTTTGGGTTTTTGGGGGTTTGTTGGGTTTGGGGTTTGTGGTTGAGGTTTTAGAGAGTTTAGGGCTTACGGCTTCTGGGGCTTGGGGTTTGGGGTTTAGGTTTTATGGAGTTTAGGATGTAGGGTGTATGGTGTGTGGGGTTTAGGGTTAGTTTGGGTTTAGGGTCGTTTAAAGGGTTTAGAGCACTAAGTATGGGGGTCGTAAGGGCTTTCTTTAAGTGGCTCCTAGAACGGCGCCAGAGCCTTAATCATTAGGATAGGTTTAGAGTTTAGGGGCTCCTGAACTGAACACTTAGTATGGGGGACCTAATTAGAATAAGGTTTTTGGAATAGTTGACGCCGTATATTGATTAGAATAATAGGTAGGGTCTCGGGGTAGTTATATTCGACTAGAATTGAATAGCCTTTCCAATGATGGTCTCTCGGACGCAATTCCACACCGGTAGTATAGGCGGACCCTTTGCGTAAGTATGTTTGGTTCCTCAAGAGCCCGCTTGTTGGATTTAGGGTTTCGGGGCTTAGGGGTTTAATAGGGTTTAGGGTCTTAGGGCTTTCGAGTTTTGAGACTTGGATTTTCAGTTCCGGAATTCAGCATGGATGAGGCGGAGTTCAAGATTTCCTGTAGTCTCCATTGTAGTTCCCTTTCTTGGTTAACCAAAATCTCTATTATAGGGTCCTAACCATAAAACTGGTTAACCGAAAAAGGAACTACAATGGAGACTATAGGTTGGGAGTACAGTAGAAGCCAGAAAGTTGGAATATCATTATCGTAACCCCTTTAAGGTAAATTATAGGGATCCTACCATTAATCCATATTCCAACTTTCTGGAGTTCCCTTTAAGGAATTTGGGAACGGAGTGGGGGTTTGGAGTTGAAGCCTCGATCTTCGAAGGCTTGGACTCGGGGTTTGGGGTTTAGGCTTTAGGGTTTAGGATTGGAATTCAGGTGATGTGGTTTGAGATTTCGCAGGATTTTAGCTTTAGGGCAAAGGTACGAAGAGTTCAATATTTGGATTTCGGTTTCCAGGTTTAAGCCGCAGGTTTGGTCAGGGGTTGGGAGAGTTTGCCCTCGTTGGAACTGACCAAGAGGGTCCATATACACTACGATTATGGAATTAGGTCCCCAAAACCATAATGGGGATGACCTTTCAGGGCCTAATTCCATAATAGTAGTGTATACGGACCCTCTGGGTGCTAAACTTCAAAAGCGAAAACAAGACACCTAAACCTCCGAGCCCGCGCCCGAACGCTAAAATTGGAAGTCCAAAGTTCAATACTTGAATCCCAAAATTTGAAACCCTAAGCCCTAAGAGGTTTCTGAACCTGGTCGTGACGTTTCCTCCCAAACTAAAAGACCAGTTCGACCCCCAAGCCCCAAACCTGGAACTCAACACCCCAAACCTCAAAAGGTTTAGAGTTTTAGGTTTAGGGTTTAATGTTTGGGGCTTAGAGTTTAGAGGTTTGGGTGTTTGGTTTTTGGGGTTCGACGTCCTAAACCCATAACCCTCAGCCCACGACTGCAGGGCAAGATTGACACTCTCATCGCTAACTTAAAGAAAGAGCAGGCTGATGAGGCGGCGGGGGGAGGGGGGGGGGGGAACTGGAACGAAGCTCTGGGGGTCGAGGGCTTCAGGGTTTTGGAAGTTTAGGGGTTGAGGGTTTAGTTTAGGGATTTACGGTTGAGGGTGGAGGGTTTAGGCTTTAGCGTTTAGGGTTGAGGGTTTAGGCTTTAAGCTCGGGGTGCAGGGCTTCAGGGTTTCTTGCCCTTGGGTAGTGCGCTTCGACTGGAAAGTTAAGAGGTGTTGGATTTGGGAAGCCTTGTAAGAGTTTCGATTCATGGATCCATGCTGCACACGCGTTTGCTGTCATGTAAGCCGATCTTTTTTGTGTTTAGCGCACTCATCCTCGCCGTTATCGCTCAAGCTTTAGCTTGATTTCTGCCCCTCCCTGCCAGCTGCTATGCTTCAGTAGACAAGCTCCGATGGCTAGGATGCTCTACGTTTGGAGCATATCGGGTAAGGAGTTGGCAAGTATGGCCATGGAGGAGTTGACGACAGTTGAGGCCTTGAAGCAGCACCTCCGCCTGCTGCACAGCATCCCTTTGTGCATTCCGGTACAGCTTCTTCACGATGGAGAGCCCTTGGAGGATGCTGTAGTGCTAGATGCCCCCATGGATGTGCAGATGGTGTTGCTGCCAATCTCCAGCACCGAGATGAAGCAAGTGGCCAGGGAGCTATCTGAATGTGTGGCGCAGGGCCATTCTGAGGTGCTTCGCTGGCTGTTGCAGGCTGGTGCCGATAAGGACACCACAGTCATTGGAAAGACAGCTCTACTCCGAGCACCCGACAAAGGACAGATTGAGACAATGCGTCTGCTGTTGGAAGCTGGGGCTGACAAAGACATGTCGGATGGTAACAGGAGCACCGCCCTCATCTGCGCCTGTGGCAAGGGGCATGTTGAAGCGGTGAGCCTTCTCTTGAGGGCTTGTGCAGATGCTAACTTGCGGGATCTTTTCGGAGAAACAGCTCTGATTCGGGCATCCAGCCAGAACCATGTCGAGACTGTGCGTCTCTTGTTGCAGGCCCGTGCAAAAACGGATTTGACCGACGAAGACGACAACACAGCTCTTATTCGGGCATCTGGCAAGGGCAATGTGGACATTGTGCGTATGCTTCTGGAAGCAGGTGCTGACGAGAACTTAAGGGATCGTTGGGGGCACACGGCACTGATGGACGCAGTTGAGGGAGGACATACTGATGTTGCATGCGTGTTGCTCGAAGCCCAGTCTGACGATGACATGCGAAACTTTGCGCTTCTTCAAGCGTCGAGCAAAGGCCAAGTTGACATGGTGAGTCTGCTGTTGGACACAGCAGTAGATCCAGATTTTGCCGATGCAGCAGGACGAACAGCTCTCATCAAGGCGTCCGAAGAAGGCCAAGTGGAGATTGTGGCGCTGTTGCTAGCAGCCGGCGCGAATCCTGACTTGGCTGACACTTACGGTAATGCGGCTCTCATTCGTGCTTCTCGCGGCAACCACGTTCAGATTGTCCGTTTGCTGCTCCAGGCCGGGGCTGGTAGACATTTCGAAGAGGCCACCGCTGGAGCATCGGGCGAGGTCGCATGCTTGCTGCAGGAGGCGAGCATTCGGCGTTGTTGACCCTGCAAAATCCTGCAACCATCGGGTTGAAAAAGTGACTGCTTTTGGGTGCAAAGGCGAGTGCAGCTGGCTAGGGGCTAGCAGCAGAAACAGATCGCCATCTCAGACTTAACCGCGACCCTATGGAGTAGGTGATTTAGGAGCACAAACCAGGTAGGCCTTTGGAGCATTTTTATGTTTCCCCGTATTGGGCTTAAGTGGATCTGATTGAGTTGTAGCACTCGCATTTTTCAATTCTTTTGGAGGGGCAAACCAGTAAATCATTCTACCACCATTATTCTTTAGCAATAGACCCCAAATCCCCCCCAAAAGCTTGGTTTGATGACTCAGGCTCCTATAGCAGCAGTAGCAGCAGCTAAACCCTAAACCCTAAACCGTGAAGAATCCCTCACACTACTGTTCGCAGGTCGAGAAGAAGGACTACTGCATCGCTCAGTTTCAGAAGAACAAGCCGGGCGCTCGAGCATATTTGGCTTTCGATTGAGGGATTAGGGTTTAGGGCTTAGGGTTTAGAGTTTAAGGTTCAGGGTTTAGGGCTTAGGGTTTGGAGTTTAGGGTCTAGGGTTTTAGGGCTTAGTGTTTTTGGGGTTTTAAAGGCACCCTAATTTTTCGGTCGCCCAGGTTGACGACCGACAAGAAGACCAGCATTGCAAAGAAGCTGGGCGCCAAAGCCGAGGCCCCCTCCTGTTCGGGGTTTAGGGTTGCATGGAAACTCCTGTGGAGAACAGGGTCTGTCACGACTCCTTGTTTAGGCCGAAACCCGCCGTGAAACCAGATTCCCTGCGCCCGAGACCTCAAACCCAAAATCCTAAACTCCTAAACCGTAAAGACCCTAAGACCCTAGACCCTGAACCCTAAACCCTAAACTCCTAGACCCCAAGACTCTAAGACCCTACGCCCTAAGACCCGACATCGTATACGTCCTACATCAAAGCTCCGGGTTATCGTGGAGGAGTCATCAGCCTTCGGGGTTTATCCGCCTGGCAGCCTCCGAGCCACGCGTACCTGTCCCGATGGGCGTCAGTCAAAGACTCCAAAAACCCTTAATTAAGGAATATTCCTTAAATCATATTATGGATCCTGCTATAATTTTAAGGATTATTCCTTAAAAAAGGGATATTGGAGTCTCTGGGCAGTCCGGCGTGCTAGTTGCGCGCTTGACTACAGTTACAAGTCTGACTAGGAGCACCGGCACCTCTCACCTTCTGGTCAAGACCAGTCAGTAAGAAAATAAGTGTCGCAGCCTTACTTGGACGCCAGCTGCCAGCTCAAGACGTGCATTCAGAGCTCTGACCAGCAGACCAGGGGCTTTTTGTGCCAAAATTCAATCAAGAATCTGCTGGTCACCGTCACAGCGGCGGCTGGAACTTGAGCAACTGGAAGCAGTGTCGCTGGAAGCGCGCCGGGAGGGGTTATCCTCAGCGCCCTCCGTGTCCGTTGGCTTCTTTTCCCGCCGACGCTGAGTATGAGCCCTGAGCGCTCCAAGGATCACGCTGCCCGGACCAGCCCCGGCGCCGAAGGTGCTCCAGCATTCGGCTGGCCAGCCGCAACGTGCTTTGAAGATGGGTCCGGCAGCCCACGCGAGGAAGCCTAGCCCTTTTGTGGGCAAAGGTTGCTGTCGTCTATAGATGTCAATGGCATTGTTCCCCGGGTTCGGTGTGGGGTGTAGGCTTGGGGTTGAGGATGGTTTGGGGCTTGGGGTTTCGGGTTTGGATTCAGGGTGGTTTAAGGTTGAGGATTCAGGGTGCGAGTTCAGGGCTTGGGGTTAGGATGGTTTAGGTTTCAGGGGCCTAATGGAATTCCTCAAACTTTAGGGCTCCAGGCTCTCCGGACTCATATATTAAGGCTGCTGGGGGCAAAGACCATACTATGTAAGGCTTTTGGGTTATTCTCATGCCCAAGGGCAGGCCCTCCCGCTCCAAAAGACTCTGCTCCCCTTGTTGCAAAAAAACTCTGGTTGTCATTGCCCTAAACCCCAAACTTTGCCCTAAACCCTAACGCCCTAAACCACTAAACCCCACCCTAAACCTTGAAGCCTGAAAGCACTAAACCCCAAGAAGCCCCAAAGCCTCAAACTTTGCCCTAAACCCCAAACCATAAAGCCCTAAAGCACCAAGACCACAAGAAGCCCCAAGAAGCTTCGAAGAGGAGCAAAAGATGAAGATGCAGAAGGCATCCGAAGCCATGGATGCCCTGCTGGGGACCTGGAGATGTTTTCGGCCGGTTTGGGGTTTTAGCAGGGTTTAGGGCTTTTTGGTGGTTTAGGGGTTGAGGGTTTTGGATTTAGGGTTTTGGGGTTTAGGGATTTGTTTTTTTTTGGATGGGTTTAGGGTGTAGGGTTTTGGGCTTTAGGGTTTTTGGGTTTTGGGATAATATGGGGTTTTGGGTTTTTTGGGTGTTGGGATTTAGGGTTTAGGGGTTTAGGGTTTTGGAACATGAGGCGTGTACTCGGGTTTGGAGCCGTTGCTGCGTGTCTTCGGCTCCAATCCTCAGGCTTCAAGTCTTCAACTTACCTTGACTAAGTGTAGAGTCCCTTTAAAAGGGATCTATAGGGAATCTATAAGGGTATAGGGTTTAGGGTTTTGTCTTACCTTTGGTTAGTAGGGAATGGAGGAATGGGGTACAATTATAACTACGATTACTACCATTCTTCCATTCCCTACTAACCAAAGGTAAGTCAAGTTGGAACTCGGGTTTTCCGATCCGGGTTCCTTTTTTGGGGTTCGTCTAAGGCCTCCTTTGAGGGATCCTTCGGGGTTCCTTTTTGGGGTTCCTCTATGAGGCTTCTGTGGAGGGATCCTTTGGTGTTCCTTTTGGGGTTCCTCTAAGGCTTCCTTTGAGGGATCCTTCAGGCGTTCCTCTAAATAAGGGTTTTCTTCTCTTCCATCTGAGGGCTCTGGGCTTGAGCCTCAGAATGACTGACTAGGTATCGGTCTGGGATAATGTCTAACTTCACCTACCGTCAAATATAGGCCCTAAACTGTATGTAAACTTGGGGACGGTTGATATCGACACCTAGTAACCAGGCCATAATCTTACGGTAAAAGCCAGAAAGTTGGAATATGATTATGCCAACCCCATTACGGTAAATTACAGGGTATCCTACCATGAAACCAAATTCCAACTTTCTGGCTTTTGCCATATGTGTAAAGCATAGATAATTGGGGACTGTTGAAATCGACACCTAGCAGAGGTTCAGGGTTTGAGAGCTTGCAGCGTCCCAGCCCTCCCCTGCACTCTGACCGCGAGCCCTAGACCCGGAAGCCTCGTAGAGGGCCCTCAATAAGTATGTAACGGTAGAGATTTATTGTCCCAATATGTGTGTGTGTGTGTGTGTGATATGTATATATATGATATATGCATGTATGTATTGCTGTTTCCATTATGTATACGAGAATATGCCCCAAAACTGCCAAAACCTTGCATGATTTCTTAGAATGTAAAAGGACCCTGCATTGAAAGAATTCCCGAAGCCGCCCAGGAAGAGCGACATTGAGGAGCCGGGTGGGCGGGGGTCACTGCTCGCGTTTCAGCGTGTAGGGTTTAGGGCTTGGGGTTTGGGGTTTAGGGTTTAGGGCCTAGGGTTTAGGGAGAACTACTCTGGGACCGTGACCCTTAATCCAGCAATTTACAGTAACGACTCAACTTAGAAAGCCCTAACCTCCAAACTTGGCAACGCCGATGTCTAAGCCGTAAACCCCAAAACCCTACACCCCCGAGCTCGGCAGCTTGTCCTGGTGCAAGGAGCTCAAGAAGCAACAGACCCTGGTGTCGCAGAATCGGGAGAAGGACCCAGTTCAATAAACTCTAGCAAACTGTAGAAATTATTAAGGTTCCTTTGAGGGGTCCTATAGTCAGGGTAGGGCATGCCCGTTTTGGGTTATTACATCACCGTGATCATATATTGGCCATATAATCACAACTAGTAGCCCATTATCCTTAAAATACTCTATCTCATCCTATTTATCAGGTGATGTAACACCCTAAACTGGGCAAGGTTAGGTTTATTCGTTTTATGGGGCATAGTATGGGGTAGACAATGGTTCAATACTTCTATGAGCCATGGGAATGACGACATCGGTGACAACAACTTCCATGAGGCACGCCTGGCATGTGTTCTGCGGATGCCGGGAAGTCTGTTGTAAGCTCGGAAGTTTGCGACATGACATGCTGCAGCAATGTCATTTCAAACACTTTTGCGTCCCGCGTTTGTGCCTACCTAGTGCCTACCTTGATGAAGAGCCGCTCCAGCATAGTAGCTCTTGCAATGTTTGGGTTGCTGATCACGTTGCCGCCTGGGTTTCTTGCTCCCGAACCACGTGATCCACCGCGAGGCGGCAAATTTGAGTTCCCAGCCCCGAAGCCTTCGGACCTTTATGGCTTGGTCACAGCAGCAGTTGTTAGCATTGCCAGTCTCAGCTTCAGTGCTCGCATCGACGTCTACACCGAAAGCCTCAAAGACTTCAAGGCCACCGTCGACAAGCAGGTGGCCACGATCGACAAGCAGGTGGCCACGATCGACAGAAAGACGGATGACATCAAGGCCAGCGTTGACAAGCAGGTTGCCGCCATCGACAGGAAAACTGATGAGCTGAGAGCGAAAGCTGATGCTGCATCCGTTGCCGTTCTTGTAGCCTTTACGCTGGCAGTAGGCATTTGGATTGCGCCCTCAGTTCAGGCACGTTTCACGACAACTCCCAAGTATCCAATGACGGCTGACGGCGGCAAAGTTGTTGCGTGTGACTTCTGTGGCGCGTGTCACCTTTTGCAGTGCAGTTGCACCTTTGACCTTCAAAGCGTGTAAACCATACATATCTGTAGCCATTTCGGCAACGAGTTTTGCCTAACCAAAAGCAATGATGAGTGCAAGCACACTGCAGTGGAGCATTCCCACACGCACCAAATGCAACCCATCCCTTACCCCCTTTCCCTAAAAAACGCGACTTAGTTCATAGCAGGTGAACGTCTTCTTCGACGGCATTGGCGACTGCGAGTACGTGAAGGTTCATCCCCCTTTTTTAGGGTTTAGGGGTTTAGGGTTTAGGGGCTTTAGTTTCCCACTTAAGGATTGGCACTGAGTGCCATGGGGAATCCGACTGCTTAACAAAGCATTGCGACAGCCTCAGAAGGTGCTTGGAGTTTTAGGGTTTAGGATTTGGGCTTTAGGGTTTTTAGGGTTTCCTCCCTAAATCCCTGTGAAAACCCTAAAGCGTTTGGGTTCGCGTAGCAACGCGAAGCTTCGCGTTCAAAAGTGTTATAAATCAAGAAAACAATCAAAAAACAAAATACGAAAAGTAGGGTACTGTAGATTTAGGGGTATGAAAAGATACAAAACACAAATAACATGAATATTTCAATAGTATTTGCATAGTATTTTTACTCTAGTGAACCAAAAATGCTGTTTACAATCAAAAATCAACATAAAAAATCTAAGGTACTGAAGATTTCGCGTTCAGGGAGTACAAATAACAAATAATATTAATATTTTAATATTATTTGTTTAGTCTGCTTAATCCAGTAAATCAAAATCTGGTTTATTAAAATACTCTCTTACAATCTTGTTAAAATCCCTGACAGTATTAGCGAAATCAAGTTTTAATGTATATTCAATAAACTCCCTGATTTCTTTATTATCGGTACATTCCATTCTTTCCTTATATAACCTCACAAACTTTTTGTATCTCCCTTCGGTTATGTTTTTAATATGCATCTTAACCGTTTCATAACTAGGAAACAGGCGCTCTAAACTCAACAGCAGTTTATCAACATTACAAAATTGCAAAACATTTCGTTCAAGGTTTTCTTCTAATACTTCCTCAATGTGTTTTACCCTTTCACACTTGGTGCACTGGTAAGCAAAACCATAAATATTATTAATAATATTTTCTGGTAATGGCATCTCGTTTAAAACACAATAGCGCTCGTGTTTTTTACAATCCTTGCATTTACATTTCTCTCGCTGTTCCCTACTTTCCCTAAGGTAGTCGTTAACCTTCATAACATCCAGAAACTGATTAATGATTTCATCCTGTTCTTGTTTACTGAACATTTTTATCTTAATATATTAAGTTGTTATTTCTTTAAGTGTGTTTCTTAAGAAACCTTTAATAACTCATGTCGCAAGTATGACCTATTCTCATCGTCCAAATGATAATATTTTTGTCCTAATTTCTTCTCAATCTTAGTGACTTCATGGATTGTTTTATTCCAGTGTGATGTGTGTTCTTTCTCGCTTATACCTTTCTTTCTCATTATCTTGACGTTGTCGCCTTCGTCTATCTCAGGGTATGTTCTGCTACGCTTAGCGTTTATGCTTAAAATCAGTTTTACTTTCAATTCATTTTTTGGTAAACGTGCATCCCTTGGAGTCAGATTATGGGATGAATGTATATCTTTATTATTATATGTCAACAGTATTTCAAAGTTATAGTCAGTCCATTGAATATTTTCTTTACCTTTTTTCTTATCTGCTTCAACACGCTTGAATAACTTATCTTTGTAGGTTTTAATGAAGCGTTCTGCAAACGCTGGGTGTCCACGAGTTCTATGAATCTCAATTTTTTCGTCCTCCAGATACTCCATTATGGGTTTACTGTATAAACTGCCTTCCTCGTCTGAATATAACATGCGTGGCTTCTTATCCATTTTGTTTAATCCTTCCATGAGACCTGCTAGAACATCTGGTGGCTGTTTGCTTTTTATTGGTATGACAGTTGCATATTTAGTGAATATGTCAATAAGCACTAAACCTATTCTAAACTTTTGGTTTTCTAAGTCGTTGCTAGATATGAAAAACAAATCAAGTTGAAACTCAAAATACGGATGCGGTGCTACAAAACTATTTTGACCTCTTGGTTTCCTTTTCTCTTCTACATTTTTCTTGAAAAATTCCTCTACATCAGCCATTGTAATCGTTTTATCTTTGACCCTTGCATCTTTCAACGTGGTAGCCTTAGAACCGAACCCGCTTCTATCAAAATAAATATCATTAATTATTTTTTGCTTCTCGCTTATATAAATAATTAAGAAAATAATAATATTTTTTACAAAAATTATTATTTCTCTTCTTCTGGCTCTTCCTCAGGAATCACTGTTATTACCTTGCAGTTTCTCATCGTGTATTTCGTTCCTTTCTTTTTATTTGCTAGTGCTTCTGCCTTCTGTTCTGGTGTCAACTTCACGACTGTTATATCTATACCGTTTTCGGCTATGTATTTCTCCATCTTCTTTTTCTCCAGGTACTTATCTCTTGAAGCCCTTTTCTTATCTAAATACTCTTTGTCTTCGCGCCGTTTATTATAATATAGCCTATTGTACAATGCCAGTTGTTCACGGATTTCCTCTATTGTCATATCTTCAGGTTTTGTCATTTCACTATTATTATATATAAATAATATTTCTTTAAGTGCTTTTTCTTAACACTATAATCTTATTTGATTTTCAATCAGTCTAAAAAAGTCTTCAGAAAAATACATTTAAAGAAATATTTTTATTATAAAGTTAATATATATTGTAATTTATGACCAAAGCTATACAGAGAAATATCACTGCTTTAGAAGCAGTGTACGACAATTACAAAAAACGCTTTAACAAAGCAACCAAGGAAAAAGTCAGAAACATCATAGACCTATATTCTGAACGCAAGATAGCCCAGTTTACGACAGCCGACAATTTAATAAGAAAATTTATTACATCCAAGACACCAAAGGACAAAGAAAAGGCAGAAAAAGAATACACTAAGATTTATGACAAACATAAGGATAAACCCAGTCTGGGCGAAAGAATGGAAGAATCAAAGCAAGAAAACAAGAGAACTGGAAGAACCAACCCTAGAAAAAAAACATAATTATTCAATGACAGTGGCGTTTTTTAGATACAAAACGGACGACAGCACACAGAAAACAGCATTTTATGACAAAGCAGGTAAGCCCTTAGTACCATTGATTACAGTAGAAGCTATAAGGCAAATAGCAAGCGTTAACACCACATCGTATGTTGAAAACCTTGTTGGCAGAAAAGTGTTTGGAAATTACGACAAGATGCTTTTTATAAAATTACTATTGGACTTACAAAAAGACCCGTATATAATGGGATACATCGGTTTTTTGGTAAGTTATGTGGATTGTATTAGAGTATATGAAGTTGATAGGGTAGATGGTGATACAGATTTTAATCCGAAGCGCGAGAACCTTAGGGACGCCACTAATGTGAGCATGTATCACAATTATATTCAGACCCCTCTGAATCCAGAGTACGAGACACTAAAGGAAGCCATTAAGGTGGAACACTATCAAGATAACATGTGTTGGATTAATACTTTAACGGATTATTAAAAAAATACCCTTATGGGTGACAAGAAGAGGGAAAAGAACAAATTAACTAGAGAAAATATTTTAAAACTCATAAATAAAACAGAAGATGATTTTACAACCAACGGGGCTAGCCTTGCCGATATGACCAAGGTGTTTGAACATTTTAAGATTCAAGTTAGGGTATATGACGTTTTTAACAATCTGGTGTATCAGTACGACCCAGAGAAGCGCGACCATCACATACAAACACTGTATGCAATAATTAAGAACAACCACATTTACACGGTGAATGATAATTTAAGTTCGTTGAAGCAAATGTTACCAAAGAATTCCAATTATGACATTTACGTGAAGGCTTCGTCGGATTACCATTTAAATGAGAAGTCCACACCTGTTGAGTGTAAAATGATAGCATCATTGGACGATATCAAGAAACACACAGAGGAAGACCAATATACCTTAATATATGACGGCAAT